GGGGGGGGGGGGAGATCTGTTTGCTTCCTGTTGATTTGAGAGGTATTCTTTTCTTTCCTGTGGTTTTACATGCAGTGTTTTCAACACAGAGAACACTAGGCAAAGCCTTGCCAGAAAGGGCCCTCTTGTTGGCAAGAGCCCATATGCTGGAACGTTCACCTGACTTCACCAGCAGGGACCCAGGGCTGATGCCCACCTGGGTGCAGGCTGGCGAGGCTGCCGTCTGGTGGCCCCTGGTCCACAGAAACCACAAGGTGGAGTGCCAGCGGGTCAGTGTCCAAAGGGCGGGGTTTGCATCTTATGGCGCATTCTGCAACTTGTAAGGAATAGAGACCCCTAGGCGATGAAACGAGAAGATGGGCTTCCGCTGGGCTTCACCGTTCACGCTCTCCACACACGGACGCCCGGGAGTAATTCTGCTACAACTAATGTCCTGTGTTCCTTCTGTCCCCGTTCTTCCTCCTTCCCAGAACACCTGAAGGAGAAGTTGGAAGAATACATGGCTCGGTTTTCCAAAGTGAGGATTGTTCGCACCAAGAAAAGGGAAGGGCTGATCCGGACCCGACTCCTGGGGGCGTCCATGGCCAGAGGCGAGGTCCTTACGTTCCTGGACTCCCACTGCGAAGTCAACGTCAACTGGCTTCCCCCGCTCCTCAGTGAGTGACCCTCAGCCCCTGGGGCTTCCGGGGGAGACGGGGGAGGGTGCCATGCGCTTCTATGTCATCCGCCATCCACAAAGGCTAGAGACCCCTTTTACGAGGTTTACAGTGGGAGCGGTGAATTCTATCTTAACTATTGCTGGGACGTATAGGTAACTAGAAAACCACATTGAAATTGACATTTTAGGTAATACCAACTGCAGTCTAACTTAAGGTTTGAAAAGGTTTGATTTCTTTAACTTAGACATTCACTGAGTAAACACTAAAAAGAAAAAGTATTCATTATACTACCTATAAGCACAGTATGATTAAAATACACACACACACACACACACCCACACACAGTTTAGCAAGTATCATAGGACTGTTAAGAGACGAGAGAAGTATTCAGCCCCAGAATACAGTTAAAGTATAAGCGCACTGACATTTTCCCAGGATTTATAAGCCCATTCTCTTTTCCACTCCAGCAGCAGCTTAGCTCCCTAAATATACGACCCCCCATCATGTTTACACACAATCCCTCAAACACTCAGAGCTGCCGCCCAGGTGATACATCTTAAATGATCACTAGAAGACTATCACTTGAACTGTTAGAAACACAAAAGTCCTGAAAACCACTCAAGCTCACAAACGTGCATGAGGTTCAGTCCAAGCACCAGTATTTTTTTAATTTCACAGTTAAGTCAGAGATCAAGCCCAGTAGTAGCTAAGGAATAAATTGTAAGGCTGAGGGGAAAAGTGTGTTCCTAAAAAGTTCTTGGTGCGCACATATTGAGTTCCTTTCTGTTCTTCCACATTTCACTAAATCAACTTTTATTGTAAATATATCCCAGGTCTTGGAGCTAAAGCCAGTTAACAGCCTCCTTCACAATAGCTGCCTCAGAAAGAATCATTTTCTATTGAGAACCGTGCAGGATTTCAGATAGAAGCAGCAAAGCTCCATTAGTAAACGATGTGGGGGAAAAAATCAATTGAAATTGTGTTGCCTTTGAAACAGGAAATGACCAGCAATTAAGGCTCCATGGCATCTCAGAGCCACACTCTCCCCCGCAGACAACCGCTCAGACACCGTAATCAACCACCCAGACACCCTAATCAACAGGGATGTTTCTATGCTCCTAATGGCCAGAGATTCCTCTGAGCTTTTAATTAAAAGTAGCTTGTCCAAGGACATAGCAATTTAGAGTTTCATCAGCAGCCATCAGTTTCCCTTAAAGGGAATTTGACCTATGTGGTGTTGAATACTCAAGTCAGCACAAGGCCTAATTTATTTATTATCCAAAGTAAGCCCTAAATGCCAATTATCAAGGCTCTGATTGTTCATATGCATCTAACAAGAAAAAAAAAAAAAAGGAAAAAAAAGGAAAAAGACAGAGAAGCCCACTTTTTCTCATTCAAGCATTTCTTTTCCTGTAGGCCTGATGGGTAAGAAATGATTCATGCTCAGGATCACTATCTTTTTTTATTTTCCTCTATCAGTGTCTTGACACATCCTCCAAAATGGAAAAAAAAGAAAAAAAAAAAGGTGGAGCCACACAGTTTCTTGGTTCATTTTTCACCTTGGGATTTTACCTGAATTTCAATTTCCCATTAAGAGTCCGTTTGATCCCTGGAAATTGAAATGTAGGCACAAGCCTTAGATGAAAAATTAGTCATGCTACTTTCACCCCGAGCTGGTGCTGCTGGATGAGAGCTGAGAGGAAATTTGAAGGGAAAGTTGACAGTTAGTTTAACAGACTCATTCTCTTTGGGTCACCTTGAGACTCCTTGTTGGTCAAGGAACTTGTAAATCAACCTGATTCTGAATTTGACTGAAGAAAGTCACTGAAACCTTAATACTCAAATACCTGCAGAGGTGATAGAAGAAATATTTTGGACACAGTAATGATAGTCTCCTCTGTCAAAGACATCTATGGGGGAATGCCACTTAAAGACTAAAGCCCACTGCAAGGCTTGCCCAGGTGAAAACGATGCCCACAGAGCTCTTGGTGGGATTAACTTAAGGAGTGAATGAATGAATGAAAGAGAAAGAAAGAAAAAGAGAGGGAAGGAAGGGAGGGAGGGAAGGAGGGAGGGAGGGAGGGAGAGAGAGAGAGAGAGAGAGAGAGAGAGAGAGAGAGAGAGAGAGAGAGAGAGAAAGAAAGAAAGAAAGAAAGAAAGAAAGAAAGAAAGAAAGAAAGAAAGAAAAGAAAGAAAGAAGGAAGGAAAGAGAAAGAAAGAAAGGAAGGAAGGAAGGAAGGAAGGAAGGAAGGGAGAGAGAGAGAGAGAGAGAAAGAAAGAAAGAAAGAGAAAGAAAGAAGGAAGGAAAGGGGAAAAAAAAAAGAAAGGGAGAGAGAAAGGTAGATCTGGGGGGAGATCTTCCATAGGATTCAGTGGTTTCCATGCCCTGCCTTATCACTGTCATCAGAATAATGATGCTGAAATAGCCAAACCTCATTATTTCTAAATTATGTCTTTTCTTTTTTAAAGATACTTAAATGTATTTTATTCCACACACCACATCCAAAGGTCTTCCAGAGAACCAAAAAGCAGATGTTTGCACTTAAAAGTTCTGCCTGTCTGACACTATTAGTTTGTTGTAGTAAATGCTGAAGAAATGCACACTGTTGGGAAGAGAACACTTCACATGTAGCTGTTCTAGGTCAGCCAAAGTACCTGTACGTGCCCTTCCCAGCACTGGCTGTTCAGGTCTCACATAATAACATCTACGAGGGAGGGGCTGGAGCTGCAACTGGGAAATAAGTCTCCTTTCTGCCTCGGAGAAGCACCATGGCCAACTGGAAAGACCCCAGACTTTAGCACAGGACCATTAAGCAGGGACTGCATCCTAATTCTTGCCGTCAAAAGATGAGTGACCTTGGACAAGTTATTTAACTTCTCTGAGCTCAGTTTCTCATGTGTAAACTAGGAATGATGATAAGAACAACCTCACTGGGTTGCTAGGAGGGTTAGGAACAGCCTGAGTATACTTAGTAGTTGCTCAAGAATTGAACAGTAGCAGGAATAGTAGCGGTAGTATCAGGCCATCTAACATATTTTCAGATATGATGAGAGAAGATAAAAATGTATAGCTTTGATAAACAGAGTCTATATTAAAGAACAGTAGCAAAATAGGACTTGGCAAAATCTCTGGTAAGCCTGAGAGCAAAGAATTCTGTGTATAATCTGCCAGCATTTGGGGGGCGGTGGAGGGACAGCCATCATGGCCATTGTAAGATTAGATGCTAAAAAAAAAACCCCATGAAGTTAAATATTTACATTTTGGAACCTCCAGAAAGCAGGCCAGTATTTTCTCAGCAGGCTCTAGCTGTATGCTTGAAGGAACACAAGGACTGTTTATACTGCACGCATGCTGGGTGCACTGTAAAATGACAGACTGGGGACAGGTCAGAGCAAAACTGTGACAGAGGGAGAGCCAAATGCTCTTCTCCAGGTATCTCTGGGACATCACTTTCTTCGAGGAAGATACCACAACACTAACTGCACCTAATCACTGTTCCATCATGCTAAGCCCAGCATTCAAACAGAGATTCTGCAAAGTGCTCTGAAGGCAACAGGGAACCAGACTGCGAGCACGATGCGTTAGGAAGGGCTTCTCTTGGCAGAAAAATGAGAGATGACCTGGGCAGGCGTGTCATTTCCTATTCTGTGCTTTCATTTTTCAGACCAGATTGCACTCAACCACAAAACCATCGTGTGCCCCATGATCGATGTCATTGACCACAATCACTTTGGGTACGAGGCCCAGGCCGGGGATGCCATGCGCGGCGCCTTTGACTGGGAAATGTACTACAAGAGGATCCCCATCCCTCCAGAGCTGCAGAGGGCGGATCCCAGCGACCCTTTTGAGTGAGTAGCAGCTGAGGGAGGGTCCAAGGGAGAAGGGGCAGATAACTCAGGCGTGTGTCAGCTGGAGACCCATCTCTAATGAAATGGAATAAAATGGGTGGCAAAACACTGGGGAGAGGTCAGACCTACAAGTTGTGTAAACTCACAAGCTGTGCTGAGTACATTCTTGAACTTTCAGAGCGTGAGAGGGCGTGTGCGGTATGAGACTCAGTAAAGGCAGAGTTCACAGCAAATGCCGTCCCTTTCAGCCGTTCTCTTAGAGGTTCTTAGAGGTTCTTTCCTCTAAGAGGTTCTCTTAGAGGTTCTTTCCTCATTTTCAGTTCCCTCTGTTCTTTCTGCTTTTCCCTAAAGGATTATCTAAATTAACTATTTTACTTTTCTTCATTAGGGAATGATATAAAATATGAACCAGTATTTAGGCCTAGGTTCCATGCCCTGCTGGGAATTGCTTCTTTATAAAGGAGGGCCATGTTTCGGATGAGCAGCTGCTCCCAGAACTTAAACTTGGGGAATTCAGTCAAATGACAGATCCAGAGTAGATGATCTTTGATAATATTGCCCCCAGTTTAGCTCCATACAGATGTAAGTTTACAGTAATCTATTGATTTCTACAAAGCTAAATTCTTTTTTTCCAATGTGGACATGAGAACTGTCTATGTCAAGAAAAAGAAAAACGTATGGCTCAGCTTGACAAACTATTAGGACCATTAATGGTTAATGGTGAGCTTTTTCCAAAAGTTACCCGGAGATTGCCCAAGGTATGCTATTATCTATTCCTCATACTTCACTCTTTTGATATCCTTAAAACCTTTATAACTTCGAAACTATTATATTTTTTCTTAGTACAAAAATAAATGTCTAGATCAAGGCTTTGCACACTAAGATTCTATTTAACATGCGTTAAAATCAATACTGTCTTTTTCTAATATTTTTTATTGATGTATAGTTGCTGTACAATATATATAAGTTACAGGTGTACAATATAGTGATTCACAATTTTTAAAAGTTATACTCCGTTTGTAGTTATTATAAAATATTGGCTAGATTCCCTGTGTTGTACAATATATCCTTCTAGCTTATTTTATACCTAATAGTTTATACCTCTTACTCCCCTCCCCCTGTATTGCCCCTCCCCCCTTCCCTGTCCCCACTGGTAACCACTAGTTTGTCCTCTATACCTGAGAGTCTGTTTCTTTTTGGTTACAGTCACCAGTTTGTTGTAGTTTTTAGGCTCCACATATAAGTGATATCACACAGTATTTGTCATTCTCTGTCTGACTTATTTCACTTAGCATAACATCCTCCAAGTTCATCCATGTTGCTGCAAATGGCAAGCTTTCATTCTTTTATATGGTTGAGTAGTATTCCATTGTATATATATACCATGGATGTATCTTCTTTGTCCATTCATCTATTGATGGACACTTACATTGCTTCCATAACTTGGCTATTATAACTAAATGCTGCTGTGAACACTGGGGTGCGTGGATCTTTTCAAATTAGTGTTTTGGGGTGTTTTTTTGGATGTATACCCAGGAGTGGAATTGCCAGGTCATATGGTATTTCTATGTTTCGTTTTTTGAGAAGCCTCCATGCTGTTTTCCACAGTGGCTGCACCAATTTACATTCCCACTGACAGTGTATGAGGGTTTCCTTTTCTCCACATCCTTGCCAACATTTGTGATTTGTGGTCTTTTTGATGATGGCCATTCTGTCAGGTGTGAGGTGATATCTCATTGTGGTTTTGATTTGCATTTCCCTGGTAATTAGTGATATTGAACATCTTTTCATGTGCCTCTTGGCCACCTGCATGTCCTCTGTGGAGAAATGTTTATTCAGGTCTTCTGCCCATTTTTTTAATTGGGTTGTTTGCTTTTTTGATGTTGATTTGTATGATTCTCTAACGCCATACACAAAAATAAATGGATTAAAGACCTAAATGTAAGATCAGATACTATAAAAGTCCTAGAGGAAAACATAGGCAGAACACCCTTTGATATAAATCACAGTAATATTTCTTTGGATCCATCTCCTAAAGCAAAGGACATAAAAGCAAAAATAAACAACTGGGACCTAATTAAACTTAAAAGCTTTTGCACAGCAAAGGAAACCATCAACAAAACGAAAAGACAACCTACAGAATGGGAGAAAATATTTGCAAATGATATGACCAATAAGGGGTTAATATCCAAAATATATAAACAGCTCATACAATTCAACAACAAAAAAACCAATACTGCCTATTCATTAATAACATGGGCTATAAAAGTTTACAGTAGAGAAACTCCCAAGTGCAAAAATTACTTCAGTGACTCACTTTAAATTACAGTAAACATTTGATAAACATCAGGAAAATGTTTCTATTCTCTAAGAGGACAAACTCTTGGGAAAGCAAAGGGGATTTCAAAAGACACTAGCCTGATAAAAACGAAGGGAAATCATTTCTTTTGTAATAAGCGCACTCATTAAGTATCCAGAATTTCTGAAAGAGGCCTCTTCAGACGCGTAAATTCCTGGAGGGTTTTTTAGAAGAAATAATGAAGCCCATCGTTACTCTTCCAAATACTTCAGCCAAGATTTAAAGGAGACTGAAAACCACCAGGGAAGTTTTTTAGTCATCCAAGGGAAGGAGTTTCTAGTAAGCGTTTGATGTGGGCCCAGCTGAGAGATGATCTTTAGACATCTCTGAAGGTAACCATCTGAAAGTCTTGGCAAAGGGGCTTAGGGTGGGATTTAAAGTCAGGTGGGTGTGGGAGAGGATACAGAAGGACCCTAAACACGGCGGAACTGTTATTAGATGGCAGCTGATGGCAGAATAGCCATGGTCCTCTTGCTACTATTCAAGTTTGCCATGTCGGAGAGCAAGGATTCATCCATGATAACTTTTCCAATAAGTACTGTAATCGTGACTGGATTATAACGACCTTCTACTTTACTTCCACTGTAACAGTGGGGCCCTGCTTTCTGAAGATGTGGGATCAAAATGCTAACAAAGGAATTTCAAATGGTGAAAATTCCAAAAATATTCTCAGTCCCTGCACTGACAGTTGAAATTTTTATCAGGCAGACCCCAGCTATGGCTATCAGAGTATCAGGCATCTTGCTTAACCCCAGAGCTGGCAGAGTTGCTAACTTTAAGAATTAAATTACCTCTGGTTGCTATCCTGTCGACAATGGCATTCTCTCCAGTACGACTGCCTTTCTGTTTTAAGTCCCTTTGATTCCTAGGAAGGCAGACACTTTAGCCTTTTGTAAAAAATGTAGCTTCCAGGGGGTGTCCACTTTGATCTTCGAAACTGCATTTGCCTTCCTGATAATAAAAGAATGCTCAGTTACCCAAGCGGCTCTGAGCAGTGTGTCAGCAATTCCATTATCTCGGCGGCCACCTGAATGCATGCATAAACAGAGGTGCTTTCAGCGAAAACTTGCTTCTCTAGATGTAAAGCTTTAAGATACACAGAACGAACGTGGTCTACGTATACATCTCTCAAGCCTTTCATGTTTTCCACTGGTAGCTATGAGGATTTCCTCGGGGGTGGGGTGGTAGGGGGAGAGTAGGCAGAGAAGTCGGGAAGAAAGGAACTACAGAGTAACATGGAAATGTATTGCAAATTCCAGGACCTTTCTGACAATATATATGCAAAGATTGTCTTTCTGTAGCAAGTTGATCAAATGTCCTGAATGACAAGACCTGAATTCTCCCATTGATCCTACCATTGTTGGAATTTTCTCCAACTAGTGACTGCAGTAGTGTTTTTCAACCTGGAAATCCTGTGAAATTAGAGGGACATGAACAGTATTTAACAATTAAGGAATTGAATTGAAAATTTCAGAGTATTATACGGGTATGTAAGTATAGCTATTGCTTCTCAGATATTTGATTTCAGTTATAATGCATATATGATCCCAGGTCATGATATAAATGGTGTTTCTTAATATAGGTTACACAGTCAGAAGAGTTCAAAATCTATCAACTTCCTAAACTGGGAATCAAAACCTTCATCAACCTGACTAGGAAAGAAAAGAAAAACTATAGATAACTTTGACCTCTAAGGAAAAAATTACTTACATTTGCAAAGAGATCTAGTTTTCAGACAAACCACTCCTAGAATATGAGAGACAATGCAGTATTCACAGTTCAGATTATCTGGCAGTCACAATTCTGATTAGACTGGATATATTTGGTAAATATTCTTGTCTTTTGAAAAAAAAAACAATGAACTATTCTCCTTTACCGGTAGCTTATATCATGGCATAATGCTCTTAGAAAATTCTTGGTATTCATAGCTTTTAGCAGGTTTCCTTATTCCTGGTTTATTTCTAGTGCAGGGCACTTGGGAATTGAAGTCTTCTCTGTGTGACAAAACATAATATGCTCCTTTAGTCATGATGAGAAAGGGGAAGATATTCCTTTGCTTTCTGACCACTAACTTATTTCTTCAACCTTATCTCGGCATCTGAAAGTTTAGAGAGAACCAGAAAGAATTATCTTATCCAACTTCCCTTTAACGCAAGCACCCCCCAGACAGCATCCAACACAGATGACCAGCCGCCTCCTTTTTTTTTTAGTGAATTATAGCTGATTTGCAGTGTTGTGCTAATTTCTGCTGTACAGCTAAGTGACTCAGTTCTGCACATATATACATTCTTTTCTTATATTGTTTTCCACTATGGTTTACCCCAGGAGATTGGATATAGTTCCCTGTGCTATACAGTAGAACCTTGTGGTTTATCCATTCTAAATGTAACAGTTTGAATCTACTAACCCCAAACTCCCAGCCCACCCCTCTCCCACCCACCCACCCACCCATC